GAGAGCGCGCTCCCTCCCCGCGCTCCGCGCTCCGCACCCGCCCCGACTGCGGGCAGCTCGGCTCCTCCGGGCGCGCGGCGCGGGACCGCGTCTTTGTTCCTGCTGCCCCGAGGACCCGTTACTTTGCACCGTCTGGGCAGAGCCCTGGGGCTGGAAGACAGGCCCAGCTCCGTAGCCGGCTCTCCCGCCGCTTTCTCTCCCCTCCTGGAAGGAGGGAGCGGGAGTGAAGCCTGCTTCTGCTCGGTTTAAGGTAGTGAAGCCATGAGGTTGCTTGGGGCCGGATAAAGCCCCTGCCACTTCCTCTTTCGGGACAGTGAGTGGAGGAGACCCCACACTGTGCGGAACTTTTCTTTTTGGGTTGCAAATAGTCTCTGTCACCTGGAGCCTACTCCATCCCCAACCCTCTCCCAGTGTCTCCCCTTTCTGACTGCCGGCTGAAGGGACTCAGAAGCCCTAGGACCAGGCTTCTCATTCGAAATGCGTCGTCTCTTGAAAATAAAAAATAAAAAAATGCTGCTGCCCAGGAAGGGAAGATATTTTACTGATCCTCTCAGTGATAGCACCTTGCTTTTTTTCCCCCTCTGCCTGGTGTGAGAAGGACCCCCGTCCCTTTCAAAACTATCAGAGCACCACGTACTGGCAGAGCCTGGCCCCTGGCCTTTTGGATTTAAATCAGTTTCGGAGTTATATTCGATTTTCTTGTTTCTCTTTTGGATTTGACCAAGGGCCCTTCCCTTTTATAAACCAGTTCTACCTTGGAGAGGCTGCCAGGTAACGCTAATCGGTGCTCTGTGCAAGTCACCGGTCCAGGTTAGACCGGTAAATAGCGTGGCACACACAGGTAGAACTGCTGCCGTTCACCTCTTTACTGATAACGTAATAGTCTGCGCTTTTTCGGCCTCCTTCCAGCCTACGTGCCTAAGTGGCTCTCATTGTTTGCTAATTCCCTGTGTCTGCTCCAGGCCATTCTGCCTTCATGGTTTCCACTTGTGGGTATCCATGAAGTGGTTGTACTGACTCTGCTCTCCCTGGGTGGATGGAAAGGCTTTTGCTCAAGTGCCATCCTCCAGCTCCGGAATTGTCAACAATGCAGCAGTTTCAAGCTCAGGCTTTCAGGGGGCTAGGATCTGAACTTTTAACCTGAGGCCATCATCCCAGAACTTTTCACCTTACCAGGAATAGGCTCTTGGCTTCTGCAGCCCCCATGAAGAAAACAAAAAGGAGGGTGTGTGAGTGAACTTTCATCTAAGGGTAAGTTCAGGGAGGAGCTCCTAGATAGAGGCTTCTGGCAAAATTGCCCACCTGAGAAGGCACTGTCTGGGAAGAACCTGGTTTTGTGTTTTTCCCTCTTGAACAACCTGGGCTCTCTAAAGAGAAAGAATGTGGGGGAGTCTGTCTGATGGAGGGGGTACACATTTTGGTTGGAGGCGGTGATAAGCATCCCTGGCTCAGAGCCCAGGAAGAACAGAGTTGCACAACAATACTTCAGGAACCCCTTTCTTAATGTCTCATTTTTCGAGGGACACCACTGCCAAATGGGGACATGTCCAGAAGGGAGGGGTGGAATGGTGTGGAGGTTCTGGACAGTGCTTGTGAGGGAGAAGGGAATGAACTGGCAGTGTTTCCCCTAAGGATAAGAGGCCTGGCGGCCCAGGGCTGTGGCCTTTAGGAATCTGAAGCATTGTCACTTGAGAAAAGGCTTGTTCTGCCTGGCCTCAGAGACTCACTGGTTAGCAGAAGCAGGGAAATGGATCTTACTCAGAAGTTAGAAGGAACCTGCCAAAAACTAGAGCTCCTCAGGAGGTAATGCACTGCCCATCACTCAGCAGACAGGAGGCCATCAACAGTAACCAAGGAGAGGGTCCTTCCAGAGGCTAAGACTCTGTGACTCCATGTTTGGGGCCGGGAGTCCCCTCAGTGGGGATGAAGTAGTAGGGCAGCCTGTGGGGCTTTGGGGGCAAGGTTTTAACCCAGGAGTGTCCTAGGTAGCGGCAAGTGCTCCAGATGTGCTGGGGAGCTGAGGAGCAGGACCTTATGTGTGACTGAGACCAGTCCATCTTGGACTCTGCTCTAGTCCAGTCTTGCAGGAAGGACGGCATAGCCATGAGAATGCCAAGAGCTAATAAGAATAACCTCCAGGGCTGCTGCTAGCCTTTTCCATCCTTTGCTTGAATTAGAATAAGGTGCTCCCTCTGGGCAAGAAGATGGCACCTTGGTGCCATTTCGAAAAAGGAGTCTCATCTGGGTGGGCACAACCATGGCACTTAGCTGGGCAAACGGCATGTAAACTGGTCCCATCCTCACCACCCTCCGGCCGGGTGTTCTTGAGCAGTATATCACCTGCGCAGCCATACACAGCTGCCTGGATAACCAACAGTTATTGAAGACTTAACATTTTCTAGGTGTTCACAATTTTTCTTCAAAAACCACATTGCCTGTATTGACTCATTTAATCTTCACAGTAGCCCTATGACATATTGTTATCTCCGTTTTATAGATGAGGAGACTAAGGCATAGCAAAGTAAAGCGTTCCGGAGCCTGGAAGCTGAGTCCCAACCACTGAAGCTGAAAAACCTAGTTTGCTTGGGGGGAAAGAGGGAAGAGCAGTTGCCTTTTTCTTTCTTTGTCAAGGGAAGAAATACCCACTCTCAGCTCAGATGGAGGAAAAAGTGGAAAATTCATCTGGCAGAAGGCAAGGAAAGAAAGGCAGGCCCAGCCTTGATGGCTAATGGGAGGCCTGGCCAAAGCATCAGATGACTTTCCTTCTTGATAGTTGGGCGGTGTGGGGTGGCAAATCCAGTTTGGGGCCTGGCATGAGTGTGATGAGTAAGTGCCACCTGGGTGTGGCACAGAGGGAAAAGGCCACAGCTATGCAGGGGCCCTGGCCTAGATGGAACAAAGTGGGGAGTGTCCAAACATGTTGTCCTGACACTTCCTACCCCCCAGTCCCCAACCCTGTCCAGGTCCTGTTGACCTGCAAACACTCTTCCCAAGCTCATTCAGGGAACCTTTCCCAAAACTTGCACTTCACAGCTCCATCTTTATGATCACTTATTTTCCACGCTATACATTTTAGCACTTAGTAGCTGGAGCAGAGCATTTTTCTACCTACATACAGACAGACAGTATTTAAACAAATCAGGCTTCTCAGTCAATGAGGAATTTTTGATGCCCTAATTTCTCCTGGGAAGAGCTGGCTGGTACCCAGCAGATTTCCCATAAGGGTAATGTTTACCTGGATCATGTCACCTGTCCCAGGTCTGGCTCTTAGTTGTGTCACTTGGAAACCCTGTCCACAATTTACAGAGTGGTTTGGACTTGGGCTATTGAGTCACCTTGAGAAAGCTCCCAGAAGTGGGTGTACGAATCAGAATGCTAGTTTATGAATTTGCAAGGAGACCTTGTGATGCAGAATGGATGCTGTCTGTTCTGCATCCTGGGCAAGCCACATGGGAAACCAAAGATTAGAAGGGAGCTTGTACTTAGCAAAGCTGGAGTCGAGGCTGGAGGTGGTGGGGAGTGATATCTAATAACATGGGGCTCTGTTTGCCTCTGTAGACCTCTCACCAATGGAGAAATACTTGCCAGGTAGACCAGTACTCTGGTCATCCTGGCTGTGTATATCTCCTTGGTCAGTTCAAAGTCAGTGTTTACCTGGTAGGATTCCCCCCTTTTCTCTTTCATAATTTAGCAATTTTTATTTTATTTATTTTGTTTAGTGCATTACAAGCTTTAGCTCCCAGCCACATCAAGTTGCATTTGCATGAGTTCAACTAGTAGACAGTTTTAGGTTTGGAGTTTCAGGCCACTGGGTACATGCTATATGCAAATCAAGAAGACAGTCAGATGGCCTGGATGGGTCAATAGGAAGCCAGCCACAGAAAAAAGGAACTTGGTCCCTAATCCGCACGGCTGCCCAGGGATGTAGAAGGGTCAGGACTGGCCACTTACTGTAGCCCCTGTGTGAGCTTAGGGTTCAGGCAGTCCTAAAGGTCCCTCAGCCATCTGGCCACCCTAGCTGGTCTCTTTGAATTTAAAAGGCTCTCCCTTATCTCTGTCCAGGCCCCCTCGTGGCCCATCATTAGTAAGCTGCCCTCTCTAGATGCCCCAGAGCCATGGAGTTGTGACCCAGGTGGGCTTTGGAGAAGGGCAAACTTGGGTTGCATCCTGGCTCCACTGCTCAGTAGTTGTATCTTCTCTGTATTGGGGTAAGTGCCTTGACCTCCCAGGCCTTGGTTTCATCACCAGTAAAATGGGCATAGCCCCTCATAGGGCATGCATAGAAAGAGCTAAGCACAGAGTCTGGCACAGACCAGCACTCTGGCTGGTATAAGCTCTTAAAGATGGTAGAGGTCAATCGAGAATCTACATTCTCTGCCAAATTGGGACCCTAGCTTCCCCATTAGTGCCACTGCTCCTTCCTCTAAGGTCTGAGCAAAGGGCAAGGTCACAGGGACTCAGACTGTCCCAGAAGATGAGAAGGTCATCAGTGCCCTTGTGTGTGTGTGTAGTTTGTTCAGACCTGAGGGCAAAGCTG